GTAAAATTGCTCTTAAAATGAATTATGTTTTTTAAAATTATGATTTGTAATGAAAATGTTACATGAAAATTTTCAAAGAAGTTTATATTTTTTGTATTTTAGGGAAGGGTCTGCAGAGTGTTCAGGGTCTCACTACTAGATCCAACTCGTAGTGATTCTCCTGTTTACAGCCTCCCAAGAGCTGGGATTACAGGTGTGCACCACTAGGCCCAGTCTCAATTGCAATCTCAGCGCACCCTGGGGGGCAGGACCAGCACAGTAGGCCGGGATCGAACCCCCGCCCCCTGCACCTGCTTGCAGGCACTTTAATCTGCTGAGCTATTTGGCCGGCCCTCAAAGAAATTTATTACATTAGCAACAGCATGAAAACTTCAGTAGCTGCTTAGTTCAACATCATTTAGATAATGAATTTTTGAGGTGTGAATTATCTCACTATGTTTTCCTGGCTGGCCTTGAACTCTCGACTCAAGTGGTCCTCCTGCCTCAGTCTCCCAAGGAGTACAGATATACGCCACCATGCCCAGCTGGTAGATAGCTTTTAAATGCTTCTATTTAAATTGTAGGAAACTCGGAGATAATGCAGAGAAGGGCAAGCTGTTCATAGTATCCCTCAAGCCAGGGATCCATGACAGGCCCCCCTGGATTTAAAGTCATTAACTTCTATTATTGTTACAGTGCCTGACCATGAGCCCTTAATCTGATTATCTCTCTTGCCATTCTAATTACAGCTATTCCTCCACTGTATTATAAGTACAAATGAATTCCTAATAGCTATATGGAAAGTTCCTTCTGCTTGTTTTGCTATTAAAATTTGACTGTTTTTGTACTTTATTTAGAAACTGTGTTCAAATTATAGTTTACAAATCCACAATCAACAATATCATGACAGCAGAGTACAATTAATGTCCTAACTACTCCTTAATTGAAAAATTTCCCTCTGCAAATGAGATTTTATTATTTGCATCTCATTATATATATTTTCTAAGGAGACTCCAAATTTATACCACCAAACTATTGTGTATAAATAACATACACTGAATTCTTTACTAAGTAGCTACTACACAGTGTATTGTGCTCCCTTCAAATTACCTAAAGCAATCAATTTGTAAGAGAGGGGCTAAAATCCTCTCACAGTAACAAAGCTATTTTATGAGAATGCTTTTTTTATGCTATACCAAAAATTTATTTTTTTAAATTTTTTATTTAATGAGAAAGAAATAGCAATGAGACAAACAAGTTAGTAGGACAGTTACAATAATTAATACATTGCATATTGTTGTCTTCGTAGTAGTTATTCACAGGACAAGATGTGGACATATCTTGTCTAAACAATATTAATACAATCCTTTCTTCTCATTGAACTAAAAGAAAGTAGCTCTATATCTATCCTATTTTGTATATACATATACATATATTTTTTTCACTACAAAATGGTCTTTCATTTATAGCCCACTTTTTTTGTTTTGTTTTGTCAGAGATGGGTGTTCCATTGCTGTTAGAGAAGCTGTATTTGGAGAAGTCTTTAAAGGATCTTTCCATACTCAACACCAGCTCAGATATTGTAGGTACCTGAATTCAGCAAAATATCCTAATATAGTCCAATAGGCCATGGTAGTTGTGGGTTATCAGCAGAGCTGGCAATTGTCAGAAGTTGTTGGCTGTGGGGGGTGATGGAACACTCCTCTTACACTTTCCCTTATTTGGGCAAGAAATGCTGCAGCACCAATCCCTGCTTGCCTTGGCATCTTCCTGTGGTCCCGGACCTTTGCTACCAATCTGCAACTAGTGCCGCCCACTACTTCTGCTACACGGCTATTTAGACCCTGCTCACTTCCTCAATAAACAAGACTTGATCAATATCCTGTCTTGTCTCCATCTCTTGTATCTCTTGCCCTGTCCTGTTCATCCCCATTCCTCCTCCAGGTCACTAACCCACGTGTTGACTCGCGAGACAAGTCAGTTGGCTTGAGCCTTTTACAGCTCAGCATATTCATATGGCATTACTTTTTATACCAAGTGGTTATACTTTTCTGCTGGATGGTTAAGACCAAATTAAAGCAAGACCTATATAACTAAAAATATAACTTTTGTATCTGACAGGGTCAGTCAAATCTCCTCAGGAAAAAAAAAGAGAGAATGCTTTAAACTATAAATAGAAGAAAATATTGCCATTGACTTGAATAATGAATAGTATTTTTCTCGCTGGGGTGAAGGAGCATAACCCTTTTTGAACATGAACATAAAACCAGGTTGTGAATCACTTAGGACTAGAAAATAGCCTGGAGCAGACCTGGGCAAGCACGGGCAGCACGCTGGTCATTACTTTCGAGCTTCTCAGAGACCCCCTGTCACTGGCCTGCAGTTGGGGTCCACTCTCTTCTTATGACTGTAGAAAGAACAGTAGACCTTCAAACTACCTGGCCTCCCTATGATTTCCACAAAATAAATTAAAAATAAAAAGGAAATAATTTTACCAGATCTGTGGATAAATGGATCATTAAGACTATGCTAAGAAATAGGCAACAAAATGCCCCCCCCTTTTTGCCGGCTCGGCCCACTCTGAGGGTGGGTCTGGTGTGGCATGTGGTGCCGGGAATCAAACCGTGGTCCCCTGCGGCTGCCTAAGCTTGCCTAAGCAGGCACTTTAAACCACTGAACTATCTCACCGGCCCTCAATACCCATTTCTTATACAGTCCTATGGGCTGTACTAAACAGTTTATTTTTCATATGTTAACAATTTGAGCTAGATATCATTGTCCATATTTTACATATTAAAAAATAGACCTAGAAAGACCATGTAACTCATTCAAAGTGACAAGGCTCAGCTTTGAATTGCCCTTGGTTCAAGAATGTTTCCAGGACCACGAAAGCAGCTCACTCACTTATTTTCTGTACCTCTGAATGCTGTCCCAAAAAAGACAGTAAAAGCTTAGCAGAATGGGGAGAACATCAAAGAGCCACAGCGTAAGCGAGAGCAATAGCCTTCTAGAAGCTGGGGAGATAGCTCCGCGGCATCAACGCCTGCTTCACAAGCACAGAATCCTGAGTTCGATCCCCAGTACCAAAAAAGAATAACTTCTGGAAGACTTAGAAAGGGGTGCTTAATTTAACAAATGATCAACCGGTACAGGAGCCCTCCCCAAGTTACCAGCACCAGCGGAAAGCTAAGCGAAGGAGACAATAGGTCTCCCACCAAAACCCTTAGGAAAGTGGCAGGCCTGAGAAGCTGGACTGAAAACAAACAGGTTTTGGAAAGTGTAGTGGATTTCTAACAGGTGGTCAGCTTCTTACACCAGCTGAATTAAACTAGCGCAGTGCTGAGTGGGGCAGGACTCCCGAGCGCTCTTACCAGCAGCAGAAAGGCAGAACAGACACGCTGTTGAAACGCGGCTAGGGATGCTGTCTGCAGCAGCTTTTGGAGTGGCTGGAAGCTGCTGGTTCTCTCGGGCTGTCCTGCTGGAGGACCTTGTCATGCTGACTTTCCCAGTGCACTTTGGAGGAGCTCGGGTCCTCATCTTGAACATGGCTTCCTGGCTCCGGAGGGGAAGATGGTGCCCTACTCAGCCTCGTGAGAAGCTTGTTGCGCTGGCTTTCCTGATGGGAACTCGGTTTTCCTCATCACTGGAGGAGCTCGGGACCTCACTGTTGCTGACGGTGGCTGTGGTACCGTTGGGGGAGCTCTGGCGCTTACTTTGAGCATTATTTTCTGGCTCCAGTTCAGATCCCTCAGCCTGCTGGCACAGATCCTTCATCCTGGCATGGGCTTCCCAGCTTCCATCACTGACCTTTGGCCTTCCCAGCACAGATCCGTGACTCTGGCCTGCATGGGATTTTGTGGTGGGCTCTCGGCCTCCAGTTGGCCTGGTGGGAGGCCTTACTATAAGCTCTAGGCCCTCAGCTGGGTTCGTTAGTATTTAGTGTGTGGATAGATTGCCTGCTCTTGTAGTATGTGATTCTTGGGTGATTCGTTATAAAATACTATTACAAAATGTGTCCTATACTGTATTGTTCACCTTACAAAAACCCCAAGCCATGACAGAAAGCTTGTGTATAAAATGCTCACACCACCAGCTCCCTTCCCCTACCCTCATCTGCTAAATTCACACCATTAAAATAATGGTTAATTGCTCATTGCTCATATCCTCATTGAATAAGGAAAAGATTTTCTCTCAAAAAATCATGGCAAAAGAATAGATGTGCCCCAACTACCGTTGCCCTCGTTTTGTCATCAGGAAAGCTCCCACCCCAGGGACCCCCAGCGCTTGTCCTCAGGAGCACGGCTTCCCAGCCAGCTCCCCTGCCAGCGTCAGGCACCTCCAAGCCAGCCCTTGCGTGTGTCATGCTCAAATGTGAAGGCGAGCTGAGCTAGGTAGCCCTTGCGAGACCAAAAGTCAAGACAGGCGCACTGATACACTAACCCTACAGGAAACAAAGGCAATTCCAGGAACAAAATATCTGAAAAGTTCTTCAATTATGTATTTTTATAAATATTTGAAAGTATGTTTCTTCTGGAAAAAAAAATAAGGCGGGCATGGGGCGTAGCACAATGACACAGTGCTCACCCAGCGCACACAGCGTGGTGGCTCAGACCCCAGCGCCCCTAGGCAGATCATTTTTAAAGGCTCTATAGGGCAGATAAGCAACAAGGTCATGAATGTTTTTTAAAATGTAATTGATAACATAATTAAATAGCATGATCAGAATACACAATCAAGAACATGTCCACAATATAGGAAAGCAAAATAATAACAAGATTTTTAAAAAGTATAGAGGTGGTAGGAGAAATGCTATGCTTAGGAGAATTAAACAGAGGACGGAAGGAGAAGATACTGTAGGAATAATAGAAGAGAATTTTTCTTAATAGAATGGAAATGCATTTGAGGATTTGGGAGCTTGCACTAGGGATTGAACCGACAGCCTTTGCACTGAGCTACATCTCCAGCCCTTTTTTTTTTTTTTTTTTTTTTTTTTTTTTTTTTTTTTTTTTTTTTTTTTTGACTATTACAAAAGTTTATTTAACAAAAATTTAATATATGAAAATGTGTATGACCCAATCTTCAGTCAGTGAAAGTAGCACTTGGAGGAGGGGCATGAATTTTTCTGCTGAGCAGTCATTTAAACTCGTTCCAAGGCTTCCAACATGATGATACTATTTCCTCGTATTACCACCATTCCAATGTTGTTCTGTTGCCCACTAGTTGCCATCTCCACACATTCATCTATCACAAGATTCATGAAGGGATCAAACCCTCGCAATATTCCTTGGACATGTCTGCCACCATTCAATTTCAATGATAACTTCTTGTCCATAAATTTTTTCAGCTCGGGAGGGTGAGCTTTGCTCATCTTGTCTAGTCGACGGGCTCAGGGAGCCTTTGAAAGAAATCTACAACCTCCGTCATGCTCCTGCGGTGGTGCTCCGGCCCTTTTTTATTCTTTATTTCAAGACAGGGTCTCAATATTCATTAAGCTACCTGGGTTGAGCTCAAACTTGTGGAGGGATTGCAGGCACACCCCACAGCCACGTGAAGAAAAGCACTTCTTAATTCAAGAGACTTCCAAGTTCATAGTAGAATGTACTAAGCAAAATCATACTTTAAAATTTGTTGGGAAATTTTAGAAACTGAGGAAAACGAAAAGTTGCTAATTAGGGGAAAACAAGTCACTGACAACTGAAAAGCAGACTCGTACTTGATTTTATTTTGCGAACAGTGCTAGCTATGGAAAGACAATGGAGATGTCTTCCAAAACCTCTAAGAAAAAGAAACTGATGTTTATTCTAGAATTATCACTCAGCCAAATACAGCACCTGTGAAGAATAAAGACGGATGTAAATATTCCGAAAGTACACCACCCGTGAAATTTGTCTTTGTTTGTCTGTCAGCCAGAACAACGAGAGAATAAACCAGGAAGACGCGGATCCCACAAGCGGCAGCTTCGCCCCCTGCGGACAGTGCGGGGTCGCCCAGGCAGCCACGCAGGGCCCGCGTGACAGCAGCATCGTGTCCTGGCGGGGGACATGCCTGGACCCCAGACAGGTGGCACTGATGTTATAGTGTATTTGAGATCCTGGAAAACAGGATCAGAGAAAATGAAACGGCAATCCAAACATCTAAGGAAAACAGAAACAAGGAACAGACGGTAGTCACAGCGCAGCACTTTGCTCCGGTTTAAGTAACAGAAATGTGTTTTATTGACTTTCAGCTTTTAGAATAATGAAGACAAAACATGGGAGGCTTCGTTTTGAGAGCAGAATAGAATGTGATCATTATCTTCCCGGCATGTAACATTAAAAATAAAATACAGGAGAGGAATTGGGTGGGGAAACTTAGAGAAATGAAAGGCAGAGGCACGCTATATATTACAAAGCATTATCATCAAAAGGTGCTTATAGCTCATGGAAGAACGCAGAGTCCATCATGTGTGCTTCCAGAAGGGGAGCGGGACTCCTGAACAGTGCTCGTCTGCCATAGTGATCTCAATACATAATGTCTCCAGCTGGCAACTTAAGGAATACATACAGCATTTGTCGCCCGGAAATATAGAGTGCCAGAAAAAAAGATACTTGGAAGTATAAATAAAAGGCTGTCCAAAGAATTAGAACTGTAAATAGTTTAAGTGCTTACTTCTGAGAAACAAAACTGAGGACAGAGAGGAGCAGAGCAAGCAGTGTTGATTTTCATTTTCAGATTCTGTATGTTTTCGGTGTTATGTGTGTAGGTTTGTATCTGTTATATTTTAATTGTTAAACCTAATCATGATACATAAAATATCCTCAGAAGAAACTTCTAAGCATCCAGCTAACAATCACATCCCCTCAGTGATGTTTAAAAAACTGGACAACACAAGGAGCTTAGAGTTTGGAGGTTATTCTCAGCAGCTATGTGCGCTAGAGAGTTCACTACAAACCAGAAGGTAAATGATCTTAAAACAAAACAAACAAACAAACAAACAAAAGCAGGGAGGGATTCTTCAGAGCTAGGTATGGCCCAAGAAGTCTTGGGTGCCCAGAACCGCGTTCCTCAGCCCACTGTCACTTCAGCGCCGCGACGGGAGTCCCCTCACCACCGAGACTGTCTCCTCTCAGGCTCAGCTTTGCTAATTCGTTTTGTTTCCCTTCTCAGGGCTGCCTAGCCTGAGAGTCTGAACATCTCAGAAGCAAGGGGCGGGGTGCAGTAACACTGCCCAGATCAGCCAAGGGGCGACAGGCGCCTGGAGAGAGGCAGTCTCTGGCCTCCCAGCTGCCACGGAGATTTCTTTAGAGTCTCTATGCTTTCCAGCTGAATTGTACCGCAGTGGCTCTCAGCAACAACCAGACTGACGTATACTCCTTATTTACTGGCTTTCCCTCTTCCTCCATTCATTCTCACACATTCATTCCAGATTGCCAGAACTAACTGGCAAATAAACTATTTACATCTGAGAAATTGTCTTAGGTTCTTCAAGTCCAAAATAAGATAGAAGAGGCCTAGGAATAAAGGGGCTGACAGGATGTGTGAGTACCCAAGTTAGGCCAAGTATCTGCCACTCCTCCAAATACTGAGAGACATTTCCTTAATATTTCAGAAAAGTACTGGGCCGCAGCAAGGAAAAAGCCAGAACAAAGACAAGATTTTAGAACAATGGGCCTAGACAGCATTTCACTGCTCTTGCGGGGTGAGAAGGGCATTTTTATGTTAGAGCACACTTCATTTAAGTCCTGCAAATTTTCTTGATATTTCCCTCTAATACTTGGTATTCAGTGTGGGAGCAAGTTTCCACGCACAAAGGGCTTTATAGGTGAAATTACGCGCTTTACTTAATGGGGTGAGTCAGGAGGAGACCTGAGGAGCTGCCACGACATCCCGTCATCTATGTGAGGGCCACTTGGCTGGGCACAGGCCAGGAAACTGCTGCTGCCATTGCTGCCACCACCAATGACACCACTCCTGCTCCACAGTAAGGAGGACAGTGATCAATAATAGATCCTGGAACCCAGCCACTGCCGGTGTGCAGTCGGGGCTGTGTGGCTGCCTTTTCCTCCAAAAGGACAAGTGCCCTTCATTGTTGGAAGCTCTGTAAGCACCGAAGATCCAGAACTCTGGCCACAAGCAGGCCTAGAAAGGTAGCTCTGAGCACACAACCCTCGAGGTGACACAGGGTGTGAAAGGCTGCCAGGCGTAAAAATTATGGGCACAGTCTGCTGGGAGGCTACCCAAGATCCACACTCGTCTGCCCATGTGTGACTTCTGAACAAAAGCCAGAGGAAAAACGCAACATATCCCATCCACCTGAGAACAGTACAACTGGATCTCATATAAACAAAAACATGTTCAGCTTTTCCTAAGAGAAAGGTCTATTAGAACTCAAAGTCTATTCACTGTATGCTTAGTGATATTTTTCATTTTACCTCTAACTACCTATAGTCCCACCTTGGTATCCTTTATACTAAAGACTAGATTAGAAATGACCACTATTAATATGCCTTAGGTCATATAGGAAGGGTAAGAGAGATGACGTATCGTGGTTGATACATGCAACATGAAGTAGGGGAGGTATGTAATGCCGCGTCAAGCCTTGCTAGTGCAGTTATCCTGCCCCAAGTAACACACAGAGAATGAAATCCCAGGGTCGAGCACCGCTGCCCTATTTCTCCTGTTTCTAAGTGATCTTTTGGACATGCAGCGGTGTTCTGCGGGCCTATGATACTGTTGTCTAAAGCCTTCAACGAGTTCCCGGCTGGGGGAAGACGCCAGCGACTCCACTTCAGGGCGTTATCGTAGTCGGAGTGATGCATCACACGCCCCAGAGCAGGAAGCACTGAGTGCCTGTCTCAGGCATCCAAGGCCAGCAGTGGCTCAGCCCTGGGCAGGTCTGGCACCCAGCAGAAGCACGGGCTAGATCAGCCTGGCTGAGAAATCTGCACTGTGTCAGCCCATAGACTGCCTCCCTGCGTGTGTTAGTTTTTTGTGGCAGCTGTAACACATGACCACAAAATGGCTGACTTAAAATAAGAGAAATGTATTCTGTTCCAATTCTGGAACCCAAGACTCCAAACCAAAGCTGGGAGTCCCTCCTTCCCTTCCTCTCTTCCAGTGGCTGCCGACTCCTGACCCGCAGCACCCTAATCACAGCCTCTGTCTGCACCCACCATCTGCCCTTTCCCTGCGTAGATTTCCTTCTCACAAAACCACTTATAACAGCACTGAGAGCCCACCTATGTAGTCCAGAGTTGCCTCCTCTTTTCAGGATATTGACAAACACACCGCCGCCTTTCCAATCAGGTGAGGGTGACAGCTTCCAGCCACCAGCCCTGACCTCTTGGGGCCAGCGTTCAGTTCAGCAGTGAACTCGCCCATTACATGTGTGGACCCATTTGCAAGCAGGGACTGCTGGGGGCAGGGCTAATGTCCCTGCATCAGCTCACTCTGTCCCCTGCTCTCTCTGCAGCCTCTTCTGCTAAAATGCCTTGTGGGGAGCAAAACATCACGCTCACAGCTCCTTGGAGCTTCCTGCTGCCACTCTTCAATCATATTTCTTCTAAATCCTCAGGCACATGGCCAAGTCAGTATCAAATTCACAGCTCTGTCAACAATCAGAGGCACAACTTCAAGGTTTCTCATGCTGAGTCCCGTGTTTCCTTCCCTGCACCCCTTCGGGCTACTCCTAAGTGACCCTGAGATGCCCCACATTTCTAGGTGGTGTTTGTGCACCATGTGAACCAACTTGTGAACCTAGTTCAGTGCTTTTCAGTTTTTCCAACATAAATTAGAATCTGCACCAGATGGTTTAAATGAAGAACCTTCGATGGAGGGACTGCATGACGTATAGACCGGGCTAAAGGAACGAACAGGAACAAGGTACCAGGAAACAAGCAAGGATATGCTGCTATCCTTAGGCCTGGGAGTGGAGAACAGGGCAAGAAATCTGTTCCTAGAGCTCAGTGACAACTAGAGCTGCCTAGAAGCAGCTCCAGGAGGCTGAAGAAAGAGGCAGCAAGAGATGCAACACCTTCAGGAGGCTGAGCCAGGAGGACTGCTGCACATTCGAGGCTACCCTAGGCCACACAGTGAGTTCAAGGACAGCCAGAACTACACTGCAAGGCCCTTTCTATAAAAAGAGAAGCAAGAGCTCTAGCAGCAGGTGGGAAAAGCACGAGAAGAGCCAGCCCCCTCTGAGTGCTCCTGACCTCCACTGTGCCTCCTGTTGACAGGACCCGCCCGGAGGCCACTTGGTAAGGACGTTCTTAGTCCATCTTCTGTAGGAAGGCCCAGAGCGCAGCACCAGCACCTGCTTGGCATTTGGTGGTAGCCTTCCTGCTAGATCAAGACATGGCACAGGGCATCACATGTGACATGGGGCACACCAGCCTGGGCTAGAGCATTTGTTTGTATAAC